TTGTGTTCATGTTTTCCACCTGTGTTCCTAGTTAATTTGCCCAGCTGTGTCTTGTTTCACTCACCCGTTCCTCTGTATTTAAGCCCTGTGTTTTAGTTCAGTCCTTGTGAGTTCTTAATGTTGTAATGGTTGCTGTGTCCGTTTTTCCAGTCTGAGTTTCTTTTGTTTGTTTGTTTAATAAATGTGCTTGCAATTGGATTCACTCTAGGTTCATTCTTCCCGCAACGTTACAATATCTAGTTTTCTGTGATGGTCGTGTTTAGGTGTACGGGGTAGAATATGCTGTTACAGTACAAAAATCATTATGGCTATATTAATAACAATTATACTTTAGGTCACCGTTAAACAAAATCATTACAGTAATCTTCTAAAAGATATGAATGTATTAAAACTGTAAAGATTTAATTTAAACAATCTTTTCATTTTTAAAAGATCATATTTAAACTTTTACGATTATGCTTTGAAATAAATTTAGTACGAACAAAACTTTGGCTCTGGAAAGGCGTTAGCAGACTAACATTACATGATGCACAGAGGCTCATCTGCTCTGTCACCCTATATCCTGAAGCTAACATTATTGTAAAGTAACGCATTTCTCTGAAGATGTGCTGGTGATCGGAAGGAGCTTATAAGCAGGCTATCAATGGGGCTCAGCCTGAGGCATCACAGATTCTAAAAGTCTTCATTGTTGCTCTCTCACTACAGAGAGGCCTATGTGGAGATTTTCTCACAGATACTACTTGAGGAATTATTAAACATTTCACACAATGTGTGTGATAAGTTGTGAGAGCCGCAAATTTCAAAGTTCTTTACATGCACCCTGATAAATAAAAAAATATAGTCAAGTTTTCCCCAGAGACCATCGATATAGCATATTTGTTTTTTATGAATTCATTGAATTTAATTAAAATCATATTTTTAAAAAGATCTATTTCAAACTTTTAATGCTTATACACTATGAAATAAATTTAGCAAAACATTCACAGTCTCATTCTGATCACTGAACTGTCAAACACCGGTGTGTGAGAGAGAGAAAGAGAGAAATACTCTGGGGTTCTTTTCAACTTTAAATGGTCAATATGGACATATATGTGATAGGAGCTACTTCAACCCTGGTGAAAATGTAAGATGATTTTATTTTGATCTAAATCTAACATAATTGGTACAGTAAATTTGTAAAATATTTATTTTAAATTAACAGAATGCTTTTCAACTACACTAATTTAGTAAGATTTTAAATGAACAACATGCTTTTCAACTTTAGTTAAATTAGTAAACTATTTATTTTATACATGATATATTTTAATTTATACACTTTTAAAGGAACACAATGCTTTTCAACTGTTGTGTAAGATATTTCTCAATGGGCTCAGGAACGTGTCACAAAAACAGATACCAGGCCAGCCACACGCTGGTGTGACAGAGAGAAAAGACTTCAGGGGTTTTTTCAACCATGGTGAAACAGTAAGATGATTTTATTTTTGTTTAATTTATATACTTTTAATTGAACAGCATGGTTATTCAACTTGAGTCAGTGTCAAATATTTGTGAATGACTAAATGTAAATTTTATAACCATTTCATTTAAATGAACATAATGCTTTTTCAACTTCTGTGTGAGATAAACTTCCAACGTCCCCAGCAATGCGGAGGGAGGGGAATTCCTGCTTTGACACACACACACACACACACACACACACACACACACACACACACACACACACACACACACACACACACATACACACATGCGCGCTCCCTATGTTTTGAGTCAGTGTGAGATCATTCATACATTGCATTGTTTTTTTTCTTCAACTCTCTAATACATTTTTAACTGTTTGCAATTTTTTTGTGGCTCCATTTTATTTAAACTTTTTGTGTGAGGTTTTACATAAGCTGTATGTTTTTTTCTTCAACTCTCTAATACACTTTTAACTGTTTGGAATATGTTTGTGGCTCCATTTTATTTAAACTGAAATGCTTGGTTCAGTGAATAGTTCTACATTTATTTCAACTTTTTGTGTGAGGTTTTAGTAAGATTTTATTTTATATTCTTTTACAGAACAGATAAACTTCCAAAAAAAATTTCTTATCACTTTCACAGCTGCCCGTGATAAGATCAGGGTTATGGAGGGGATGCGGTGACAAAACACCAACTTCAAACGATCAAACTAACTGTCATCATCAAAGCCAATACATCTCAAACTATCTGTCACACATCCTATACCCCCTTTTTTCTTGATCAAACTAACTTCAAACGATCAAACTAACTGTCACACATCCTATACGCCCCTTTTTCTTGATCAAACTAACTTCAAACGATCAAAGTAACTGTCACCATCCATCATTTTGACAGAAAGTGTAACCGCAAGGGGCAGAACTAGGTCAAAGGTTTGTGATGATTTGTGATGGCTGTGATGTATTTTAGGACCCCCTTGAAAACGAGATGATGCATCTCAAGGGGTTTATCCTAATAAATACAATTTACATAAAGGTAACAGGAAGGCGCGGAACCGGAAGGGGCGGGACAGGAAGGGGGGCCCAGAAGGGGTGGAGCAAGATCAAAGGATAGCCATGCCTACCTGTCAATCAATCATTTTGACAGGTGGTGTATGGTTATAACTACTGCCACCCGGCAGAAAGTAACATAATTAAGTTACAGCAATAAAGTCCAGCAATATAAAGTTGTTTTATGCGAAACCATAGACCTTTATCTACAGATCAAGTATAATAATAGTAACATTGAATCATCTTGGAGAGTTTCATCGTGTTGACTGTCATAAGCGACGGACTGTTTGAATGCTGAATGGAGAATGACTGACAGCCGCAGCGGAGGGAAAAAGTTTACGTGATCTTGAATTTAATGACTTAAATATTAATTTATATCTCATAAGACAGTGCACAGAAACGTTATGGTGCTTTATAATGTTTTTGTGCCTTTTGTGGGGCTTAAGCCTTCACAGAATAGTAGACTATATGCACAATATCGGAGTTGGATCGGCCTCGTCTGACCGATACCCAATCCGGCAAAAATGGCACTATCGGAGCTGTTGTGGAAATAATTCTATTCGAAAAGCTAGGAGGAAGGAGACAAGTGGAAACCCCTGAAAAGTCAAAGTATCAAATGTTTATTTCTAGCAAGAAGTAAAATTGGCATTCAAATACAGACAGCATCTATATGAGAAGGCCCTGGGCTGGTCCCTTTCACCAAGTTATATAACCTAAACACATCCTGTGTAGGCTGCATCTGTTTCAGAAGATTCCCTTTGTTACCTTAAAAGGAAACGTGTTTGTTCAAGATCTCTTGTCTAACATAAATTTATCTAGACAGAACAATGACATCTTCGTTAAAGTTTCCTGTTCTTAGCTGCTGTTCGAATTCACACTTTTTGCCTATCTCTTGTTTGATCAAAAGCTGCACACATACATTTCACACTTGAAGTACACAAGAGGTTACTTGGAGTTAGGGTTGGGTACCGAAACTCGGTGCCAATAGGGAACCGGTTCCGACGTAAACGGTAGTAACCAGACCGAATAAGAACGACAATTTCGGTGACTGATTTAATTAGGCACACACGCACACACACACACACACAGTCTCTTCTGTCTCGCATGCGCGCTCTTGCTCGCAAGGTTTGGCTGCATTTCACGTGTAAAATTACGCGTCAGAACGCCCTCTGGGTGTGCCGATAGTCTGAATCCCATATAGAATCAAGCCGCCTCGACGCACTTACGTCGTCATATTATGTTGGCGCGCAGGAAAGGAAGCTGGTCGGCAGAGCGAGGAGCTTGGCAGCGTCCCGTGCCCTATTGAGAGATATGTTACACCAGTAACCAGAGATGTTCTCTTTCATAGGTTCACTCAACGCTGCGTAGCTAAGAAGCAGTGGATTTGTATTTGTAGGCTGCTGTATCACGTGCCGTTTGAACTGACGCGCTACAGGGATCTGTCACATTTCAAAGAGCCAAAACGTTATTTATTGTGTGAATCTCGTAAAAATATTGACAGAACCTGACAGCTGTGGATTTGTTCCATATCAAAAGTTACCTTCTCTGTCTTGTCTATCGGTGTCCTCTTTGTCCGCGATTTTTCTCTGCGTGAAAAAATGGATGTGGCGTGAGAGCGTGTGAAAAGGGTCAATGCGTGAGAGTTGGCAGCTCTGCCTGCTAGTAATCTCTATTAATCTCCAGTATTATTACATTGTTTTATTTGATATTATGTATATGTGTAAAATGTAATGTATTTTTTTATTTTTTATGTTGGTTTTATTATTACCATATGTTACTTGTATTTATATTGTTTAAAGATTTAAGTTAATATTGTGTCCAGTTTGGCCCTGTAAATAAAAGGGTATTATTTTTTGATAAAGTGTGTGTGGTTTCGTTTTCTTAAGTACCGTTTCAAGAACCGTTTAGGCACCGGAACCGTTTAAAAAATACAGAGTAGGTACTGGTATCGGATAAAACCCAACCGATACCCAACCCTACTTGGAGTACACATAGTCCCTTTGCTACTTGGTTTTCTGTCACACATACATTTTGTTCCAGAAAGCTTATCTTAACTGATGCATTTCTAACAGCTTGGTTATATCTTTAATAATGTCCTTTAGCTTATATGAACATCTTCCTTTAAATGCTTATGAGTACATAAATCTTTAACGTTAATAAAAGTTGCACACATCTAAAAGATAAAAGAACACATCTAAAAGTAGAAAACACATCTAAATGTAAAATTTCCATTACAGAGCCGATACCGATACTGAGTATCGGATCAGTGCATCCCTAGTTGAAACTGAACTCAGCAAGAATAAGACTCTCCAGGACCAGGAATAAGGAAACCTGCTTTACAGACTTGCTGATAAACCTGTTTTTTGCACACTTCACTCAAACACAGAACCAGGAAACAGGAATCACATGAGTTCAGGGAAAGAGAAACTGAAGTGCAGTTGAGCTGTCTGTTGTGTGTGTGTGTGTGTGTGTGTGTTTGTTTCATGCAGTAAAATGGCAGAAGCCAGAATTTCAGTGGATCAGAATGAGTTCATCTGTCCAGTGTGTCTGGATCTCCTGAATAATCCAGTGACCACTTCCTGTGGACACAGTTACTGTAAGATCTGTATTACATGCCACTGGGATCAGGAGGATGAGAAGAGAGTCTACAGCTGCCCCCAGTGCAGACAGACCTTCAGGCCAAGACCTGCTTTAGCTAAAAACACCATTCTGGCTGAAATGGTGGAGAAACTGAAGAAGACTAAACTTGCTGCTGACTGTTACGCTGGAGATGGAGATGTGCAGTGTGACGCCTGTACTGGAAGAAAACACAAAGCCGTCAAGTCCTGTCTGGTGTGTCTGAACTCTTACTGTCAGAATCACCTTGAACAACATGAGAGTTTCTTTAAAGAAAAGAGACACAATCTGACTGACGCCACTGGACGACTGCAGGAGATGATCTGCCAGAAACACGACAAACTCCTTGAGGTTTTCTGCCGCACTGATCAGAAGTTTATATGTGTGCTGTGTACGATGGATGAACATAAAAACCATGACACTGTATCAGCTGCAGCGCAGAGGACAGAGAAACAGGTATTAACTATAAACTAGACACTGATGAAATAATGTTGACACAAAATATATTGCCACCCATATGGATGGCTGCCAACTTTTGAGTTTGGGGGGGGGGGGGGGGGGTAGTAGTAGCAACTAGTAGGCTAGTAAAGAGAGATGATCGGTTAACATGCCGCTTGGACTGAGGGGCAACAGCGATCTGTCACATTTAAAACCTTAAAATTTAAAGTTGACAGAATCTGAGAGCTGAGAATTTGTTTCATTTCAAAAGTAACCTGCTCTTTGTCTGTCGGTGTCCTCTTTGGTTTGCAATTTTTATCTGCGTGAGAAAATGGACGTGTGGTGTGAGAGCGTGTGAAAAGGGCCAATTGCGTGAGAGTTGGCAGCTCTGCATATGATCAGGTAACATCATTCACACTGCAGACGTCAGCAGAAGTTAACAAGCTGCAAGTGGACTTTCACTGCTGAGTTAGCTTTGCACTGAACTTGGTGAATGCACCGTAAACATATTGATCAACACAAACTTTCATAAAACAGGATTTGATGAAGCAACAAAATAATGGAAAATATTCACCCATTTTTTAAAGAATATAACTCAAGAATAGCAAGTTAAATACAGCAACAGATGCAAACACTTTCTGTTCAGTAAATCTGACTAGTCCATATGAACTCAGTCGTTTAGAGCTTCACTTCAGGCTTTGACTCCTGTTCTGTGTAGACTAATCAGTTTTTAATGGAAATGCGATGCCTGTCTTTATGTAAATTAGAAATTCCGATTCTCAATATAGTTATCCGGTAATACATTTTTTTTTGTCATATAACTTTGTTACGCAGCAAAAACACTGTCAGTGTGAAGCTCTACATCTGTGTCAGTTTCACTTTTATGATACTTGTGCTTGCAGTGTGAAAGAGGCCTTATGCGTCATGTACATTTATACAGAAGATAAAACATAATCATCATGCTGTCCAGTCCATCCAATCATAGTTCTAAAGGATCAACCCCTACCATTTATGTCATATTAAGAAATATAATATCAACTAAGAGAGGTCTGATGTTAAAATGTATGTGTATTAAGTTCCCGTTTGCATGCGAGTGTATAAGTGTGTCCAAGTCCTAATTCCTGTTTTGTCCAGATGTGTCTATAATGTGCTTATAACATAACGGAAAGAAGTTTCACAAGGCAATCTTTCAAAAGTGAAGCCTAAGAAATAAGAAAATATTTAACAGGTGGGAACTGATCAAACAAACCTTCGGGAGTTTGAACCTAAAGCCATTGGTTATTCGTTTCACTTTTACTAGATTCAACTTTTCACATGATGATTTAGAGACAGCAGTATAATGTGTCATCTCTGTTACTGATTTGTGTTCCAGAAGCAGCTGAAGGAGACGCAGAGGTCGTTCCAGCAGAGGATCCAGCTGAGAGAGAAAGATCTTCAGCAGCTGAGAGAGGCTGTGGCGTCTCATAAGGTGAGTCTGCAGAAGAGAGGTTTGAGACGTCTCAGTCAGGACTCACTAAAGCCACTGTGTGATTGTGATGTGTGTCCTAACAGCGCTCTGCACAGACAGCAGTGGAGGACAGTGAGAAGATCTTCACTGCACTCATCCGCTCCATTAAGAGAAGCCGCTCTGAGGCGACACAGCAGATCAGAGATCAGGAAAAGACTGAAGTGAGTCGAGCTGAAGGACGACTGGAGCGACTGGAGCAGGAGATCAATGATCTGAGGAGGAGAGACGCTGAGCTGGAGCAGCTTTCACACACACAGGATCACATCCACTTCCTGCAGGTAACAGAGTTCTAGAAGAACATTTTGGGTTACTTGACTGTAACCCTGTTCCCTGAAAACGTGGGAACGAGATGCTGTACTTGATTTAAGCGCTATGGGAAGACATCTTTGTCTGACCGGTTGTGAAGCACGTGTGGCAAACACGCCAAGAATTTGGCTTATATAACCTCATCATCGGAATGCGCACGTGATAGGCGTTGAGCTTTGGATTTCGACTCAAGGACATGTAAGCGCGGAGTAAAATGAACATTCAAGCTATAAAATCAGCCTGCCACATCACATACTTGCTGCAAGGGGCGCCTCATGCCAAGGCCTAAGAGGATGCAAGGTAGAATGATCCCTAACACGTAGAGGTGAAGCTTGACCACACGCCTTGTAGGCTAGAGCGATGGCATCCCTCCGGTTGCAGCTCCCATTGCAGATGAAAAGTTGCTCTGATTTACGCCACTGGCTAATACGGTTGACGTAAGACTGAAGAGTACGAACTGGGCACAGTAAGTGAAGTTGCTTGGACAGAAGGCTTCCAGCATGATGGTGCAACCGAGAGCCTACAAATCCCCAATTCTCTTTAGTGACGAAATAGCAATGAGAAAAAACATCTTTAGAGACCGAAGCTTGACAGGCGCTGACTCTAGTGGCTCAAGATGGGGAAGCAGGGGTTGTGGGGGGTGACCTGCCCCTCAAGGACCAGGGCTAAGTCCCACAAGGGAACTTTCACTCTGACAGGAGGCCTCAGTCTCTTAGCTCCATTAATGAAGCAGGAGATCAGAGGGTGTTTCCCCATGGAAACCCTGTCAATCAGAGCGTGGCAAGCCGAAATGGCTGCCACAAAAACTGAGAGTAGCAGGACACGTACCTGCTGACAATTTCTCCTGCAGAAACTCCAGCACTGAAACAATCTGGCAGTAAACTGGGTCTGCATGACATGCAATACACCACCTTTCCCACTCGCAACTTAAATGCATAACTTTGTTAGGTGGAGGAAGCCCTGGCACTCGGAATGATCTCTACTACAAGTCAAGTCAAGTCACCTTCATTTATATAGTACAGTTTTAACAATGCAGAATGTTTCAAAGCAGCTTTACAGTGATAATAGGAAATGAATGGAACAGAGATTGTTTTGGCTTAACAGCAGCTCTTGAAATTTTGTTTAATTGTCCAGCTAAACTAAGTTTTTGATTGATTTACTTCCATAGTAAAGATCATTAGGTTAGTTATTAAATTAGGGGCCGCTTACACAACTGGTTTTCAACAGGAAACAGAAAATGTAACGCCTTCTGGCCGTTCATTTGCAATTGTGTTTGGTGGCTCGAGAACGCAAACTTTAAAATAGGTTCCAAGATGCGAGTTTTGAAAACGTTTGAAAACGTTATCATCTCTGTGTAAACTTCAAAAACGTGAATCTGTAAAAAACGCTGATGGTGTGCACATGCATATTACGCGTTTAGTCTATAGGTATGCGCTTTTAAATATATATTTATGTGCGCAGGGGCATAGTCTTTCTTTACAAAGGGACTTCGCCAAATTACTTGACAATGACAATGACGACGAAGACTTAACAGAACATCCATAAGAGGTTTTTGGTTCAATAATTACAATCTCTGTTTTTGCAGAATTAAGTTGTCAGAGTATGTAACGTAAGAAGGCAAATAGAATCCAATTCCGTATAAATGAGCAGTTTATTGACAACAGTAAAAAACAGAGTAGAAATGCTGGTCAGAAACGTCGGGACAAGGCTGGAGAGTCACTGGTAACTCAGGAATGCAATGGGGGATGCAATGGGCAGAAAGGAAATCCGGGCAGATCCAGTCGGTACACAGGAGATCCGGGAAACAAGAAACCACACGAGCAGGAACCAGTGAACCAGAAAAGCACAAAGCTTACAAGTAATCCCATGGAAGCCTCACAACGGCAGGAATAAATCAAAGACAATAAATAGGACGCAACATGAGAAACAGCTGGCGCTGATCAGCTCATCTGCCGCACTAACAAGCCATGCCCACTCACACTAACATACACTACACACAGGCCGAGGGCGAGTCAGTGAACCCATGAACCGTGACAGATTTAGCCGCAGTAAAGGAAAAGGTTGACGGTAACCCCCTTAGTAACGGGGTAATCTAACTAATTACTTTTCCCGTCGTTACAACGCCATTAACGTTACTGGACATTAAATGCGGTGCGTTACCACGGGCGTCAGTTTGGTTTGAAATGTGCTGGGGACAGAGACGCATTCGGAAGTGCATTGTCAGAAGTGCTGGGTACAAACTTATCAAACCGTGCAGCCTCTTTGCTTAACCCGTTAATAAATCCATCGATCCGCAAATGGTCTAGTGGTAGATCTTTTGCCAAGCGTGTCAGAGGTTACGGGTTCTAATCCGCACTAGAATAGTTATTTTTTTCTCTCATCAAAACTGAATATGTTCATCAGTGGTAACAGTCTATATCAAGCAGGGACACGTTTGTGTGCACTTTATTTTGTGATTTCACCGGAATGAATAGAGAGTCTCCACAACAGCGATAGATTGAAGCGCACGTCCGAGTGAAGAGCGCACGTCCGAGTGAAGACTGTGCGCGCCACAAGAGAACACTGTATCCATGACACTGATAGCAGTAGCAACGAGCGCTCAGCTTGATTTCAAAATCACATTTTAGCGCTAGATCTCTTATTTAATAGCGAACTAAATGAATTCTCTGCTAGTTAACTGGAGATGTTTTATTTATTTGTATTAAGAGCCGTGCCTCAATGTTTCAAAAAGTGGTGGGTACTAAATGACTCATGACAAAATATGGTGGGCACACGTACCCACCGAAATCGACGCGTAGGGCCTATGTGCGTTACTATCATAGACAGTAAAGGTTACTATGTATCGATTGAATAAACTGTGTAATCCGAACGCACCCCTGCCTCACACAGCTAGTGAGGAGGTGGGTTAATAACGAGGTAAGCGATTATGATTGGCTAAGGCAGAGTCATGTTTCACACCCACACACACACACACACACTTCGATGAAGCAGCAGAGATGGCGAGTCAGGAGCAATCCGATGAAAATTTGCCATTTTCAAGGTGGAGATATAAGCACTACTTCTGTTCTAGGCTACTCATTTCAACTGACTTGTGAAAACTGCAAAAAAAAAATCCAAATTCTTTGACAGGCCTATAGCTAATTTTTTTTTAACAGTAACGCAAATAGTTACTTTCCCTGGTAACGAGTTACTTTTATTATAGTGTAGGGAAACATTAGCTCAAATAAAGGGAATATAATTTTAATAACGAATCATGAAACATGATCGTGAATCACCTACAAATAATAAAATTACCCATAAGGGAATAAATTGCCAATGTTCTGCATGGACAACTGAACACAACGAATTATGATCAGTTCTCCATCCAGGTAGGCAAAAATAGATCAATTGTATTATCAATAATCAATCACAACGAATTATAATTAAATATTAATATGTCAATTGTCTAAAATAGATCGATTCTAAGGATAACCTCTAATGGGATCAATTTATCATCGACTGATCTGTTTTGTCCAGCAAAACTGATCATCCGATCTTTATCAAACCTCATCAAATTTATCCTTCTTTATAGACCAATTTCGAGCCGACGTCACAGTTACATCACAGCGCAAGCTGGAGGCAAAACAAACGGACAACTGGAGGCGGCCAATACAAACCAGCACAGATTCGGCTACATAATAAGGAGCTTAAATTATTATTATTATTATTAAATGTCATCTTGTTGTGTTATTGGGTGCAAGAATCAATGAAAAATTAATATGCTGTATCTAGGATTTTTATTTCTAGAAAATGTTCACATCATTAAAATTGCACCGTAATGTCACTCTTTACATTGTCGTCTTCTTGGCGCTGGCTAGGCAGAACTGCGGATCGTACCACACAAGTCTTGTACATGACCATTCAGCACATAGTTATAGGCATCTAAAGATATATATGCCCTCAGTTTCTTTTTCCGCTCTGTTCCTCTATCAGGTAACGTTAGCTGTAGAAGTCAGGCCACTCAACCGGAGGTAGCGTTAACGTTAATCCTGTCAGATCGACCATCCATTGACAGCGTGTACAGTACGGGTCAGCCAATCTGGTTCCGTCCGTTAAAATTAACTTTTGCAAATAACAATCACGGTCCTGGACAGTGAGTGACCTTGCACATTAAAATAAAATCGAATTTTCTCCAGTCATTGTAAAAAAACAAGCTGACAAAACTTGCAAACTAACGTTAGGGAAGCGGCCAGAGTGATCGTTCTGCCACCACCTAAGCCCCGCCCACAAAAAAACGTCACCATGTTTACCATCTGAAAATTGGTCTATAGACTTTCAAGAGAAGCTCCTCTGGCCACGAGGATCACTTTACTGTTCTATAAAAATCACTATTTAAGTATCAACAAATTATAAAGCTTGTAGCTTCGATCGAAACATTAAAGGGACTTTGAAATATGCGCACGAGACAGTCAATCAAATGAATATAATGTATTTAATAAATGACAGAACGTATAGAGGTGAACTAAAGTTACACGGAATAGATGCATATACAAACAATAAAACAACGAACAATGAAAGAGAATGAAAGTGAAAGGAAAAGGGAGAGAGTGAGAGAGAGATCACAAAAGATCCCAGATTTGGCAAACTACAGACAGAACCTTGAGAGAGAAACAACAAGGAATCAATCACCCCAAGTGGGCAAACAACCATAACAGCTTTCAGATCTCGATATGTGACCGATCACGGAAACTAGGGACACAAGTCGGTTCTGAGGCATTTTGAGTTATTCATAGATTCTGAAAGTGTAGTCTCCAAGCTTTCCAACGATGTGTAACACGTGGAAATATGATAATATTTGGAGAAGTTGTGGCCATTTGAAGGTAGGCACTTAAAAAAGCTAAAAGGTTAGATAACGGCCTCTAAAGATTGTGCAGTTCTCACCTCTCTCTGCCGCTAGGAGTGACAATAGGGCTCATTTACATCTCATTTAGAT